CCCCCCTCCCCCCTCTCCTTTGCTTAGTCCTCGGCTGCTCCTCTTTTGGATCGACTCGGCCGCGTGTATAGAAGGTATCGATTCCATTGCTTCGTGCCATGCAGGGATCGGGACCGCGCGCGCGTCTCTGTCGTGATCCTCTGCCCCCCCCCCTCCCCCCTCTAAATCCCCCTCTTCCCACTCCGCTACCCTTCCTTTTCCCCACGGACTTTCCTCGTCCGTCTTTCTTTCCTCAAGTGGGTTGACGCGCGCTCGCGCGCGGCCAAGCCGGAATGGAGCGGGTTGAATCTGTTTATGTTTCCGAGCGGGCAGATGACGGGGAGAGCGAGAGCAATTGGCTGCGCTGACCGCTCGCTGCCCCGGTCGCGCGGAGGTTAACGAGGGTCGCCTCACCGCCCTTCTCTCCTCAGCAATCGTTGTTAATCCGTAATAGACAAACCTAACTTTAAAAAAAATAAAAAACAAAAAGGTTGGCAACATGTTTGTCTGACTCTTCGATATCTTTGACTTGCTGAGGCATGCCGTCAAGGGAATGAATGAAAGTGTGATTATTTATTTTATTTTATTTTAAAAAATCACACTCTAGTGCCTCTGTATGCACAGTGGCGTTCACAAACCTACAAGTGCGCAACATGCCCACACCCAGGTTTCCGGTGTCCTTATTTTTTCACAACGTTTGGGAGAGTAAGCGTACTTTTCGTTGCACGGCGTGTTATGGTTGGTGGTGGTGGATGATGATGTCGATTACGGCGATGACAGCCGGACCGTCCCACCCACCGCCTCGCGCGGGGGACTAAATTGATTAATCGGCCACCTTGTCGTGTGTGGCGCGGCGGTGGTGGCGATGCCGAGCCGGGGTGGTGGGGTCATCTCCGACCTCGCCTGTCGTCTGCGGAGGTCAAAGCCGTTTGCGCGTTGGGATGCATCTGTCACGCGACTTATGACTATCAGAATTGTAGATGCGGGAATATTGGAAAAAATGTGCAACGTACACCAATCAAAACTCGTAACTCAAACAAAAATATTGGTAAATTTATAATTATAATTCTATAGGATTACGAAAAACCTGGATTTTTTGTTGTATTAAACCTAACTTTAACGCAATGTGGCCCCCTTTGGACCAAGCGCCGGCAGCGCGCCTTGCGGCCCGCGCCGCGGTGTCGGCTTCTTTTTTTATTTCTTTTGGCGTGTGTGTGTGCGCGCGCGCACTTCAACGAGCGTTTCGCACGCCAAGGAAAGCGAAAGAAAAAACACAAGACTTGGGATTCTAAAAGTCGTTTGTGATGTCAGTGTGACCGGGCGTGGCGGTGCGTGGGCGGCGCCGGGCGGCGCTGCGCCTTCTGGCGCATTGTGTCTGTCTCGGAATGTTGCCCCCTCATCGGCGGGACCCGACCGACGCGCCGGAGGAGACTTGCCATGGCCGACGGCGTTACAGTCGGAGATAAAACACAGACTTGGAGGGGGGGGGGGGAGTGAAAGAAACATTTGCCAATTTAGTAAGGTGTGCAAGTACCCTCATATCTGAAAGTGTCAATCCTATGCACTGCAAATCGTCGAATTTTGACTCAATGTGTACCTATATAGTGTCGTTTTTGGCGAAAGGCAACTTCTATTGATTCGCCAGTGTCTTTTGAGGCGTACTTGTGTGCCAGAGGTGAGCATCGGGCGGTCCGCCTGGACCGGGATGGTCCGAAAACGACGGGTGGAAGTGAGACGCTCGAGCGGGCCAGAGCTCCATCTCACTCGCACTTCTCGCTTTCCGGACCATCCCGGTCCAGGCGGACCGCCCGATGCTCACCTCTGTTGTGTGCACCGGGCGCCGGTTGAACTATTATTTTAGTCTAGACTAGAAAGTGGGGAGGGAGTAGGGAGGACATTTGCGAAGCATTCAGAAACGCAAGACAAGGTGTTAAATTGTTTCGCAAAAAGTGGTGGTTTTTTTGGCGAGTTTGTAAAGCGTACTACGATGTGGCCGTATCAAACTCATAACTCTAAATTTTTTGTCTTGATTTTTTTATTATTATTTTTTTGTATTCGGATTCTGGATAATCAGTAAAAGTCACGCTATGACTCTACCCACTCCACATCTTTCGGCTATCGGTGTGCTGGCGCTGCTGCGGTGGCTTGGCGATGGCGGTGCTGGCCTGGTAGTAGTAGGCGTCTGACACGACCCGGCGCGATATTTCCGCGCATCCGCCGAGGAAGGCGCCCCGCCCGTCTGTCTGTCAAGTGAAAATTGTTGTCGGAGAACCGTAAGGCACGCACCCACTGTGCGCCACGACGCGCCAGCCACCCACGCCGAGTGCGCCGAGCGAAATCGTTCGGTGCAAAAATTGTGTGTCTGCGGCTGACGCCGGCTGACTGCTGCTTTGCTGCTGACTGACGCCGAGTGCTTTGCTTTATGTCTGTCGCAGGCCGAGTACATTCCGCGATCGTCTCCGGGGTCAACTGGGAAACGCGGAGCGTCACCGTCGAGTGGTTCGAACGGGGGGAGACCAAGGGAAAAGAGGTAAGTGTGTGAGAGGCTGCGGTTACACGCTATCCACCGTGGTCGTCTAGCTTGCCAAAAGTTTTGCATTTCTTTTTGACTGCTAAATTTTGGTCCTCTTCTGGAGACTGACAAATTTTGTTTTTTTTCCGAGAGAGTCCAAAAATTTGCAGTCTCCAAAAAACACTCAAAATTTGGAAGACAAAAAAAGCAGTGCCGAAATTGTGGTAAGCTAGGCGACCGACGTTCGCTGTATTGGGCTGAATCTGTATGTCGTTCTCTCTGTTTGCAGATCGAAATGGAGGCCATTTTAAATATGAACACGCACCTAATGGGAACAGCGCCCCAAGACGAACCTGTGATTAACAACAATAAAAAAGTAACCAGAGTACGTATGCTTAACACACACTAATTTGACGCCAGGTGTCTGTCTCTCTACCTCTTTCTCTTTTGTGTCGTTATTTATTTTTTTCTTTACTCGCCCATTTTAACACCCGTCACGCAACTTTTCGGTCTTGGCCCGCCCCTTGTCCTAACGAGTGCAGATGGCTCTCGCTCCCCAGCCCCGGCCCGAGGCCCCGTGCTCCTGCATCCCCCGGCCGGTGCCCCCGCCGCCCCCGGCCCCACTGGAGGACGCCCCAACGCCCCTGCCCCGTTATAGACGCCCCAATGACTCCCCACGCCTCTCTCATCACACGGTACACAACGCTCAGTGTGTGTCCGACGATCACTTTTAAATGTTTTTATTCTTTCTTTTCGTGGGTGTGGTGCGAAAGTAGCTTTGCATGCGTTTCAATTTTTTGTCATTATCTTTCATTCATTTTCTCCTTCAATCTGAAGTGGCATTTGGTGCATTTATTATATACGTTTTCGTTAAAGTAACCTCAGACTAAAATTTACTTTTCTTTTACAGTCGACGAAAGCAAACAATCCGACAATGTCTGTGGCATCTAGCAAAGGTATGTGTTTTCTCTGTGAACTTTGCCATTGAAGTTAGTTTTCATGCCGTTGGAATGGAGCTCCAGACAACCCCTCTGTTATTGATTCATGTGCAAACTAGTCATTTTCACCACGGAGCGGCGTGCATTTGGCACCGCTGCATGGCACATTTTCGTAACAGGCGCGGTAAACACATCTCTATTCCAATTGCGTGACGAGTTACTATTTTAAAGTTAATACATAATTACAGCACTGTATTTCTGTACTTTAGCTGTTTTAACAAGTAGCCGAGCCATTCGCTCTGGTGTTTTCCCCCTAGCCTGCACCTCCTGTGTGCTCCAATGTAGCCACACATAGTACTTTAGAGACCAACACAAGGTTTCCGCTAATTTACACTTTCATTCCATTGCCCTATCGACATCGACCTTGCGGTTTATTATTACCACCACCACCACCACCACTACCACCCGCGGCGTGATCCTTTTCAAAACCCTTCCTCGATTAATTTCCTTTTCGTTTTTTGCTCGGTAAATAAGTTGTTAACGTCAGCGCGCGCGCCGAGCGGCGCAGAGCGTTGTTGCAGCCCGGGTCGGGTGGGCCGCGAATCAATACGGCACAATATCATCATTACCTTCCGACCGGTGCCCCCCCCCCTTTCCCTCTTTTTCTACCCCCGCAACTCGTTAGTGGCAACGTAATGCCTTCCGTGTTTCAGTGGCTATGACCGCCGCTACTCGCCCGCGCGCCCAGCGCCTCTACCGCCTCCGCTGCGCGTCGCGTTTTCGAGTGACAGCCAGTTTATAGGGCAGTAGCGGGCAGAAGAGAAGGGGGATGAAAAGTTTCGTACCGTTCGACCGCATCGTGCATTTTCCTTTTTCCGGGGGTGGGGGTGGCGGCTATCGTCGTCAGGGAGGGTATTGACCCCCCACCGAGGGGCTACAGGCGGCCGGCAGGAAGCGGAACTATACTGTCACCTCAAAGCCGCGTGGCGCGCTAACCGGAAGTTGAATTCCCTCCTCGCGTATGGCGGAAGGATAAAGGGTTGGCTGGGGAAGGGGGTGGGGGCATCATATAGAGTGGCCTTGCACGGCCTCTCTCGTGGGTATCTCTATACCCCTTTGAGCATAAAGCCCCCCTGGGTGAACACGTCACGTGATTTATCGGGGATTGGCACGGTGGAGGGGGAATGCTTCCGCGTCGCTCTGATGGCGATGGCGCTATCGCCGGCGGTGGGGGGCCCTCCGGCTGCGCCAGCCCCGCCGCCGGGGTGCACCCGCCGCCCGCCGCCGGGTCACTCGGCCGGCAACCTCGTCGTGGTGGTCGCCCTGCCATGTGCTTCTCCATCCTGTACACGTTCAGGACCCTCGGGCGCGTCGCCGACTCCGCCAGCCTAGGCTCCCCGGACGCGCTGACGTCCTCGTCCCCCTCCTCCCCCGCCAAGCCGTCGTCGTCGCCGTCGTCGCCCCCGCCAGGTCGTCCGCTCCGAACCACACCACACTGTGTTGATTGCACTTGTTTTTGCTTTTAAAAGCGGGGTCAAAAGGAACTATAGGCACTGATGTTAACTTGTGCTGGCAATGTCGTTGAATCTTGATCGATAATCTGTTTTTCATCTAGTCGTATGACACGCCCAGCACCACTGTCCACTGTGTGCGTTAGTGTGGCGAGTAGGTGTTAAAAGCATAGTGTGGCGTGGCCCCCATTAGCCCCCCATCCCGTAGGCCAGGGTCGTGGCGGTACCTCCACGTCCACTCTGTCCCATCAGCCAGCCTGCTGCTGCCCTCGGGCGGCCTTCCCTCCAGTGGGCTCTGGCGAAATCACACGTTCGTGTCTGGTTCCAGCACCGTACAGATCGACGAGAAACCAGGGCAGGCCGACGAACATCGTCCCGGCCGTGAATGGCCACGGAGACTCTGGCATTCCCGTACCTAACCGAGTGTGTGAGACAGTCGCTCCCACTCCGACGAACCCCTCAGCGCCACGTCACACTATGCAGCTCTCAACAGCTCCAGTTGCCACCGCCCCTACAGGTACAGGTGAGCTTCACCCAGGAAAAGGCATGACTGGATCAACAACTAACAAAATGCTTCTCCCTACTAACCGGGCCCGAGGGATGTCCCCTGTATGGGTTGTGTAATGTGGAAACAGAGTAGATCCCTAAGGAATAGTTATTTTTTTAGTTCGGATGGGTCTTATTTTCCTATAGGTTTTATAATCCAATATTAATATTCATGTAAGTGGTGCCCGGGGTCGCATTGTTGTGCGTTTTGCTCCTAAGAATAGTGAATCCCACTGTTGTACCCTAGCAACAGGAGCTCTTGCACTTAATTCCCATTTTGTTCACTCATTCTATTTTGCTGATTTGGTCTGCTAGACTTGTAGAGCTTGTAGATCTAGCACCATTGTTAAATTTCATTATACTTGCTATGGCACCTCCCACTAGTAAGTAAGTAATTTTTATTGCATGTTGTGAGTGGTAACCGTTTTTTTTTTTGTTCTGTGTCAAACTATTAACCAGTAAATAAATGCGAGTACCTTCACTTTGGTAATGCTTTATAGATACTTAAGGCTACATTATTAATAATTCACTTTTCATTTGAATAACCATCCATAACCATGTACATAAATTTCATATGAATAGCTGCTAGTTTGGGGAACCATGTAATTGTTTAATCAGTACATATGATGAGTTCTGTCACATATTTTTTTTCTTAATTTAGGGATAAAACTTTGGTTATGTTTTTAAATTTTAAGAAAATATTATCTTTACGACAACTATATGCACACCTTTCCACCCAAATCCTGCAGAATTCAATGACCTAAAGAGTACTATTACAAAGCAGACTTTTCTTGTGTAACCCAAGCCTCAAAAATAGCTGCCTGACACTTTCTAACTCTTGTTTCAATAACATTTTGCATGCTTTTGCACAAACTTTTACATCAGGACGTTCAGTGAAAGGAGGAGGTGGTCTTATCGAGACAGCTGTCCAGAACCAGAACCAAAACATTGGTCCTGCAGGAGTTGGTGGAGTTGGTGGAGCCGGCGCTGCAAACAACGCCGCCAACAACCGCCGCAGCAATGTCGTGAAGGAAGTGGAGAGACTGAAGAAGAATCGAGAAGAACGACGTCAACGACAAGCAGAGCTCAAAGAGGAGAAAGAAGCCCTGATGAACCTTGATCCTGGGAACCCTAATTGGGAATTCTTAGCTATGATTCGGTGAGTTTATATCATCTGTTAGTTGATGTTGATACCTACTTTAAATCACTCTATTTTACAATTTTTTTAATATTTATTTCCAGAGAGTACCGGAATGCCATTGACTTCAGACCTCTGCGAGGATCAGAGAGTGTTGAAGATCACCAAATCACCGTTTGTGTGAGAAAGAGACCATTAAATAAAAAGGGTAGGTCTCGTATCATGTGAAACTATTTTCTTCTCCAGGAAGACAATTTCACATCTAATATATTTTATTCTTTGTGTCTTATAGAAATGACTCGTAAAGAAGTGGATGTCATAACCATTCCTAGTAGAGATCAGTTAGTTGTGCATGAACCAAAAAATAAAGTGGATCTAACAAAATATCTTGAAAACGCACCCTTCAGATTTGATTATGCATTCGATGAATATTGCGGCAATGAAATTGTTTACAAGTAAGTTTGTTTTGTCTCTTTTAAATTGGATTTTCTTTGCAAAATTGCTTGACTGAATAGATTTTTATGTTATTATTCTGTTAATTTAACATTATTCAATCAATACAGATATACTGCACAACCACTTGTTCAGACAATTTTTGAGGGAGGAATGGCAACATGTTTTGCCTATGGTCAGACTGGAAGTGGAAAGACCCATACGATGGGAGGAGACTTTCAGGGTAAAACCCAAGATTGCAAGAAGGGTATCTATGCCATGGCTGCCAAAGATGTTTTTAAGTACCTAAAATCTTCTAAATATGCTCCTTTAAACCTTGTCATCTCTGCAAGTTTTTTTGAAATCTATAGTGGGAAGGTACAGTCTCATCAATAAATGTGTCTGTTAAATTTTTTGCTTTCCAATAATAACTTTTTATTTTAAATTTTGTTAGGTCTTTGATCTGCTGGCAGACAAAGCTAAGCTTCGTGTGCTTGAAGATGGCAAACAGCAGGTTCAGATTGTGGGACTCACAGAACAAGTTGTTGGCTCAGTGGAAGATGTTTTAAAACTGATTCAACATGGAAATGCTGCACGAACATCTGGTCAGACATCAGCCAATTCTAATTCATCTCGATCACATGCTGTGTTTCAAATTGTGGCTCGTACTCCAGGAACTCATAGAGTTCATGGCAAGTTTTCACTTATTGACTTGGCTGGTAATGAGAGAGGGGCTGACACATCATCTGCAAACAGACAAACAAGTAAGTTCAGTGATCAATAGTTTACCTGATCCTCATACTCTTATTATTATTTTTGACCACTCTTTAAAAATTCTCCTTTTTCTATCTAGGAATGGAAGGAGCAGAAATCAACAAATCCCTCCTCTCGCTCAAAGAATGTATTCGTGCCTTGGGTAGGAAAAATGCTCATTTACCTTTCAGAGCAAGTAAACTAACACAAGTTCTTAGGGATTCCTTTATTGGTGAAAAATCAAAAACATGCATGGTGATTATCTAAAGTTTTTTTTAAAATTCGTAACTACTTTCTAATTTTGATATTTGTGTAATTATACTCTACTCTCTTGCACAGATTGCAATGATCAGTCCAGGGCTGAGCTCTTGTGAACATTCGTTGAATACATTACGTTATGCTGATAGAGTTAAAGAATTAGCAGCCAATGGTCCATCAGAAAACAAAGCATCACCAGAACAGGATCGAGAATCACCAACTGCTGAAGATGGTGGTTTAGATGACAGTGATCTTGCACAATTGCGATCACTAAATGTAAGCTCACATCAATTTATTTATCTAACTTTTCATTAAAGTTTTTCCATTTGTCTCATCCGTGTTTGTTTCTCTTTTTGCAGGAGGGTGAACTTTCAGCTGATCTCTATAATTTCCATGAAGCAGTATCCCAGTTACAAATGATGGAAGATGAGGTGCTAGATACTCACAAGTCAGTTTTGGAAGCATCACAGCGCTGGCATGAAATGGACTGTCGGTTACTGGCTGACACACGTGATGTGGACTACGATCAGGACGGTAGGCAACTCACTCCTTCTACCGTAGCTCTGAACACATCATCAATCCACTTGTCTCCATCTTCAGTGATTGGTCAGAACCTGCCAGGAAAGATAGGATCCTGCAATTATCGAGCGAATCCCATTACTAGGGCAAAGTCACAAAGTAGAATTCCGTCTTCAAATGTTCAGTGTGGTAAGACTGCTAGGTCTAAATCTCAGAGCAGAATTTCTAATAAGACAGGTGCTTCTTTAGCAAGAAGTCAAACATGTATTATCAAGTCTCCATGGGTGAACACCAACTCTCCACTTTCTTCGTTACCTGGTAATAACCCAACCAAGCCCGCACCTTTTCAAAAAACTCCCTTGCAACCGAGAATCGGAGAAAATTTAAGCTCTAGAGTCCATTTTGGTCAGGTTAGTCCTTCATCGCAAAGGGGTAGGCAGTTGACTGTTCATTCTCAGAGAGGATCAAATATACAGAGATCTAAATCACAGGCTGGCCTCTCCAATATTTCTGCAGTACGCAGACCCTTGTCACACTTAGTGACTAATGGTCATGTGTCGACAGTTGTAGCCCAGTATAACCAGTCTGGCAGGTCTACTGGTAGACCCACCAGTTTTGGGACTAGATCGGGTAACTTGTCATCTTCTAAGGGCACTCGTCCCTCATCAGCTCCTCTTCGTAAATGCTGGTCACAGGTGGGGTTGAATCTTGTTGCACAACCGCCACAGCTAGTTATCAGCCCTCAAAACTCTCCACCACTCAAACGAGCCAAGTCTCAATTGAGACTTCCCCAGGAAAATGAAAGTGATTGCAGCGATGATCTACCTGTCTCACTTAAAATGCTTGATGATGACTCTGCCCTTCCATCATGGTATCATAAACGTCAAGTTAAGGCACCTGACAGAAGTGACAGCATTCCATCCTTGACCCCATCTGATTACCCAATGAGCAACCAATCTGGAAATAAATCGCAACCCGAGCCAGTTCATCAAGAAAGGGCTCAGTATCCACTTCACAGGAGCTCAACCGAACACGGCATCCAGATAATCAGGCCATTGAAAAGATCTTTTCCACCTGAGAGGCTTCGTTTCCTTCAAGACGGAAATCCTCGCGACGAGGAAAGTTGTGAAGAAGGCCAGGGGATGCTCAGGATGCATGGCAAGTCCCTGATGAGTGATGCGGGTCAGCCTCAGCCTCAGCCAACGCTACAAGGCGGCATAAGCAGAAGGTGCAAGGACCTTGCTTTAAGCATCCTGTTAAATACTACAGTTTATCTAATTTTACCATTTCTATATTCCTTGCTCGTGCTCTACATAACATAAATTTTCTCCTACCAAATCTGCTCAAAGTTACTGGCACATTCATTCTATTTAACAAGAAATTTATCTCTCTGATTTCCAATGCTCAGCTCTTATCATTGAACATTTGAAACTCATAAGTCATTTACTAATCTAATAAGAATGCATACAGCTCCACCAATTAAAAGCACAAAACTAATAGAAACTCAAACATGGCAGGTTCTGGTATTGAAGGAAGAGGCAAAGGGTTCAATGATAGTGTAATCATTTGTTGTTGTTAGGTATACAGTATCTAGTAATCTTGCTGAACAAACTTTCATGCTTCTTTCTTCATCTCTTTTTTTTTATCTGGGCTCTTATTAATGCTTCAGCATGCTAGCATTTCCATAAAGATGCCAAATTTGTATTGCTTTGTTCCTGGAAGATGCTTAGTTTAAATTTTAATCAACCCTCTCCCCCTCCTTTGTGCATTACTATTTTCTTAATGTTTGCTTGTTGCATGCTTTATTTGCCTTTCACTGCCTCTTTAGGGTTATCCTGACTACAGGTGCCCATTGTGTGTGTCTGTGTGTTTTGTGTTAAATGGTTCTTACATTTGTAGTTTGCGCTCTTGTGATTAATTTTTTCTCAATTCCTCAACTTATCTTAGTTATGTTGGTATTGTTTCTCTCTTCACTTTACTTTCACCTACACTGTACAATTTTGAGACGAAGAAAGTGTGTAGCTTACTAAATGTTGGTTTGTTGAGTTAACCTTTATTTTCAATAAATTACTTTGAGAACTGCATGTTGAGTGATAGCTGCACAACCCTATGTCTGCATGCAAATATTATGATCTATCACCTTCATTAAGAGCACTCTCCTTTGTTTTCCCAAATCCTCTTGAAATGAATACAAAGTATGAAAGAACCTTCTTCTGATGTTCTCCTAGAATTGTTGCTTATTTTAAGTAATTTTGGGTCATATTAATAATACCATACATGATTTTAAAATTAGGTATACATGTGAGTTTTTCTTATAATTTATCATGGTGCACAATATAATCAGATCTGGTCTTTCTATTGTCTTAATTTTTACTCTGCTAGTTTGTTGAAATAGAGGTACGCTTTTATAGATCAGAAGGAAACATCAAATCACAAAACATTGTTGTAGTCTTTCCAATTTATTCTAAACACTTGCCTGTGCCAGATATGAATGTTTTTCTTATCTATGATCTTTTAAGCTATTCAAGTTTTTACATATCTTTGCTCATCATTAAAAAATGAAACTACTCATACTTGATTGATTAGCTGTTGCCTGAGTTCAGCATGCATTATTCAAGACAATCAATCACATTGTTGGCTTTGTCAAATTTAAGCTTTGGTCAAGTACCTATCACAAGTAATGCATATTTGTCAACTAGCTTTTGTAACTAGGCTATTCAAACAAATGTTCACCAAATGCATTGCAAACACGGCTGAATGACTTGTTGTACCTCTAACTTAACAATCTGTAAATGCTTGATTCAGTATTAATTTTTTACAATGTTTGTTACAGCTTATGCTTCAAATCTTGAAGCTCTTGTGTCAGAGAAGATAGAAACATTGATGCAGTTCCGCGAGAAGATTACTGCATTCCGTGGTCAGCTTTTGGCCGAAGAAAAGATCAGTCAAAAAATGAATAGAGCCCCAATGAACTCCCGTCATCATTAGTGCTGGATTTTATTAGCCTTTTTTTGACTTTCAAGAGTACCCTAGCTTTTGACTGGTTTAGCGTCTGAGTGAGTCAGATTTGTTTGGAAGACTGGGTAGGGCTGCTCATATACCGGTGCGTTTTTCCAATTCTTTCTCTGCTCCTCTTAAATTTCTCTTGGTAACCATTTTTGGCATTGCAGTATGCTGTGTTCTTTTAATTGGTCCTATTTAATATTAAATCCTCTTCTAAACCCTATCAACTCATCATACTTCAATCAATGCTAAATAAATTCCAGCCATTTTCAAAATTCCCCTCTTTTTTTTTTTTTTGGTGTTCCTTTTTTTACAATCCCCTTTAACACATCACTTTTTGTTTTTTATGTGTAATAATAAAATTATGTTGAGACAGAATCAACAAAAGAATGGGTTGAATCAAGATGTTATGGCGTTATCTCCAGGATTGAATTCGTATATTTATTTATTATGAGATTTTAACTATCGTACTTGCGCTGCTCTGCATCAGAGCAATATTGGCTTTGTCAAGTAACCCTGTAATCCACTGAAAGCTAATTAATAAGCCCTGTATTATTGAGGTGCAAGATAATGCTAGTTATGCCTCATTTGACTGATTTTGGACTTAAAAATGTATCTCCTTGCTGTGTCAGCTCTCTGTAAAATAAAGTTAAGGCTCATCAAACACACCCCTTTGGATTTGATGCTATTTTATTGAAATGGCATTTTAGAAATGCGTTCATTAAATATTTTAATGAGACTAAAATAATCTTTGTGATGGAATGTGATATATTAGTGAACATTGAACCTCTATCTATGTTAATTTTCATCATTTCCTCCAAAGATGTACGCTGTGCTTAGTGCATATGCTGCTTCACAACTACCTCTTAAGGTCCATCTATAGTTCCAAGCCTTAAACAAACAAGCAAAATTATCCTAAACCTGAGTTGTTAAAATTTATTGCAGCAGTCAGGTAACTACTCAAGTGCTGTTTTTAGTGAACTTTGATTGGAAAGGGTATTCTGTGCTTATGTTAATTTATAAATTGCATGAAGTTAGTTACATTAATTTGTTTTTTTTATTGTTTTTAATACGAAGCACAAATAAAAGAAATTATGAATTCTTGAAGCTGTGTCTTTGCACCTCATCACGGTCTATCTCACTAGTCAGTTTGGGTAACTTCATACTGTAACTAATTCAAAATTATTTTTGTCTCATCCCTGTTAGTTTTGTCTTCTAAAAGATGGGTCTCAATAGATAAAACCGCAGGCATCTTTTCTCATCCATTTAATAACAGTTCTGTATTATGACTAGGTATGAATAACCAGCACTAGTATTTGATTTACATCCATAAGATCTATACCATAATATCTGTATTTACTAAATATTGATTGTTTTTTTCTTTTTGAACAACATTATCAAGACCTAGTCTAAACAAGAGTAATAGTTGGCCTTTGCCACAAAATGTTTTGTAAGCTAGGGAATGGACCAGTGCCTGTAGAGAAAAGGGGAAAGGGAATACAGCAATATTTGAACCAGTAATTTGAGGCACGAGGAAGGGGAGGAGGAGGAGGGGTGGAAGAGTTAAGGTACAACACATTCAGTACAATGTCATAACATGCTTGTAAAAATGTTACGTAACTTCTATAGCATTTCATACACGAAAACATGCTACAGTCGCAGATAAGATTAAGAGGTTTTCTTAAAAGCTGCACATCTTTGAAGAAAGACAATAAGTGTTCCCTTAAGTTGTATTTTAAATTTGGTTATTAAATAAAAATATAATATTTTTTCCTTTACAATCAGAAGTGTTCAGCATGATTGATGCATGGTGCTCGTACCATGCTCTTCTGCTCCCAAGCCGCTGCTGAGTTGCGTTATATGCTGCAAGTATCTGTAGTCCAGAAGGTTTTTGTCAGTAATGAAAATGAAGAGTTTGTGGAAAAAGGATGAATCATTTTAGGTAAAAATCTTTCGCCACTACTGTTAATCCTATGTGCTCCGGCCAGGCTCTGGCAGGTGCACTGTGCTGTGCACTTGCCCTGTGTAAGAGATCTTGTTTTTTTTTTCTCTGCTAATTTTGTAGACTAGTAGGCCTATGCTTGTCCAATGGTGCACAAACTTAATTTCAGATTGCTTAAACCTTTCAATTTGAGACACGTAAGTTTCTGTGGACTGAGAAAATTATTTAAGACAATTGTGCTGGAACACAAAGTTGGTGGATGTGGATTAGCAGATAGATTCATCAATCAAACAAAAGTTTGATAGGCAATGAAATTCTTGTATGTGTTCCTCAAGCGGCATTCACTATACCTCAGGGTTTCTTACCTCATTTCGATGATGAGCATGACTCAATTAGTTTAAAGAAACAGTAACTAAGCGTTCAGAGACCTGTTCAAACAGAGGCACAACAGGAGCCAACAGCGGATAAAGATTTTGAAAGGGAAACCACTCTCCATTACTCATTTTATTCATTAATTTGTCATCAATCTGCATACAGGTACTGTACAACTGAATTAATTCTTATTGTTTATTATATTACACTTTGTGCAAAGGTGACACTCTCTCTAAGAGTTTCCAATGAGACCGCGCAGGACCTCTTTATCGGCGCTGCCAATGTAGCATTCATAACTTTCTGCACAAATGATTTTATGTTTTTTTACGTAGTGAGTAAAAAAAAGCAAGAAATGTGTAGAACTGCGTTAACTGCAACCTTACCAAGGACACTTCTTTCACTCACAATGCCAGACGAAAGATATCACATTGTTATCGTATTTATTTTTCCAGCCATGTTCTAAACTCGAGCATCCTCTATCCTCTTGGTCATCCCCTGCTGCAGAGCAATTAGGAAGCCCCCCGGAAGCCAACCGGAAGCGCCTTCTTTAACAGAGGCGATGTGGTGTTGGAAACGTTCTACGTACAGGGAAGTCCCGGGGGAGTTCCCCAATCGCTCCGCTCGTGGAACAGATTTCCCTTCACCTCATTCCACTACAGTTTATTGCAGGGCGTTTCTTGCTCTTCCTTTTTGAGCGTTCTCTATAAGTTTTTTCTTCAAATTTTTTAAGACTAGTGACAGTGGCAGTTTGAACCATAACATGTAGGCCGTGTAGTTACGATAGAGGGCACAGTGAATCGGATGTGCCATCCAATCCAGTCAGTAGACATCCAGTGCTACGGCGACAGTGCTTGTTAAATGCAATCCTACTGTCGATCTCTTTGGCAAACGATTCAGTGCTTAAAACACTTCAGTAATTAATTAAAAAACAACAAGAACAGTTTTAAGTTGTTATTATTTTCATGAGTAAAGGAGCATGTGCAAAATACGAGATAGCCCTTTTGAATGAAAAAATACGTTTTCCCCCAAACGTTAGGCAGGTCTCGCGATGAACATGGCTGGAATTAGGATAAATTCTACCTCAAGAGGAGTGGCACACATGTTTCAAGAGTGTCAAGAAAGATGGTCAGCCCGACGTCACAAAAATTTCCCGACCGTACGGTCTGACGTCACATGCGACCAATCATTGCCTTGGACATTCGCCACACGCCGATGTTTACATACGGCTTCAGCTTAAGTTCGCTCTACTCAACAATTTTCTATACATCCACAAAAATGAAACTAGATGACAACAAAAAGTTATAAATGAAAATGACACTTCCATAGTGGTTTTTGGCATTTTTCGCAACTGTGCTGTTCCGCTCGGTGGACGCGTCAAGCCTACAATCTCTCTTCTTGGAGATTGTATTTATCAAGATGATACAGGGGAATCGGTAAAGGAATGCTTCATTAACTTTCTTACGTAGGAAACTGCAGCCTACAGACGGCTTAAAAGACAACGATTTACAGCAAGAAAGAGCGCGTCTGATCGGGCGCCTTGGGGGGCGGCCTGGACGTCTGGACAGGGCAGCTGCAGCCGCAGGAGCCGCAGCTCCAGGGCAACCCTCCACCGGGCAAAGCGGCGCTCGTCAAAGGGGCTCTTTCTTCGGACATGGAAGTGAGGCAAACGGGGGGGATATTCCTACAAGGGCGACCGTGGCAGCTTTCGTAAAAAAAAAATCAATATTACAATATTTTTTTAAATTAAGGTCAGAAAAAAATCCCGACTGTAGGACCGACCGGAACAAAGAAAGGAATTAATACTGCAAAATGACAATGAGAATCGATGAGATATCACAAAACAAGATGCACCAACGTAAAAGTACCAGATGATACAATACGATCAGAACAAGAGCGAGAGGGAGAGGGTCGCGCAAGTTGCTGTGTTGGCCTGACTCGTCGCACACTTGGCTTCGCGTCGCGCCCTCTCTCTACCCTGCCGGTTCGCTGGTTCGCTACAGCTGCAGCTCACTTGCGCCTGGAATAAAAGCGTACCAACAAATATGTGTGCTCACGGCACCACGGCTGCCGCAAGGTACCGTGAGCGCTCCGGTCCACCGGGCGCAGCTACTGCCGACCCGGTCCTTCTTACATTCATTTACAACAACAGTTTACATCAATAACAACCTTACAACGACAACCTCCATCACTCAAATTTGTGCGCAACACAGGGCCCGCCGCTCCTCCGCTCTGGCGACACCGGTAGCGGCGGGACCCTCACCTTATCACCTAAACTGCCTTGTCCTCCGTCACTCTTCATTTCACTCGCACTCCGTCACTTACACACATCATCCCTCTCACTCCTCTCTTCTCGCATACTTATTTTTTTTTTCATTTTAAATAATGATAAACCATAAAGTTGTCGTGAGCCAGCCACCTCCCGCGGTGCAAGTCTCAATTATAGAAGAATATTTGGTCCACTGTAATATTTTTTTAAATTATTACTAAAGGGACCGATCGTCCCCAAAAGGTGACCTTTGGCAGGTCGATCGCGCACACGCCACTAAAACACAAAACAGGGCATGCAGCGGCGTGCAGGCCCCCTGGAGTCCCTGGAGTGTGGGTCCTGGAAGACCCCTGGAGGGCCTTCGGAACGTTGTGCCCAACTGCGCGCAGCCCCGCAGCCCCAGCCCCTGGGTCACACACACGCGCACACACTCACACTAGCTCATTTAGGCTTTTAGGCCTCCGACTTAACGGGGATTTTCCACAACCATTGAGTACAATATATATAGATAATATTCGTCTTTAAAATTACGTTGTTTTCTTGCTTTTCATTACTTTTTAAATTTACAAAGTGCAAAGAGAAATGGCGGGGTGGGGCTGCGGGGCGCTGCGCCATGCCGGGGGGCGCCTCGCGACGCCACGCGTGTCCAGGTCGGCCTCGGGTCGTGCTTCGCAGTGCTTCGTCGCTGCCGCAGCCGCCTCCGAGCTGGAGGCCGTGGGGGGTTGGAAGGAGGGGGTGGGGGAGAGATAGGGGGCAGGGCGGAGGGGTTGTTGAGCGTGCTAGCCGTGCCGTGACATGCCGTGCCGGGCCGCCCCCGAGCGCGCTGCTGGGGGGTGGGGATGGGGGGCGCCCCTTATGCGTTGGACTGGCGCCGCAGAGAGCCGCCCCCCGCGCCGCCCCCGCCCACGGACGGCGTGCCCGCCTGCGAGCCGGACTGCGAGCCGTTGCCGTTGCTGGAGTCGAGCTGCGCGATCTGGCGGAACAGCGAAGAGTTGACGAAGCGCGGATACGAGTCGCGGTGCATCAGGGTGTAGATCTGCAGCTGGGCCTCGTCGAACGTGCGTGGGGTGGGGTCCACCATGTTCCTGTTGACCAGCTCGCGCACCCGGGAGTCCAGGCTCACCTGCGGCGGAAACAATCATGAGTAACAACTACCGCGTGCCTGGAAACCTTTGAAACCCCACAGCCCACAAGGGGTTTTCAAACTCTTAAAATTTTACGTCGCTCCTCCTGTGCATTGCCTTTGAATTACAATCGCAAACAAGAATACGCTTTGTACAGGGCGACCCATTCGGGATCATCGAGAAAGTACGTCCTTCATTCTACGCTTCGAACCCGCGTACGAAGCTGTCAAGTTCAGCCGATGCAAGCTCTCATAGCGCCTGGTGGGTAGGCAACACATTGTGTGCAGTACGTAGGTGTAACGCTTGGTGGCCTACCCCGAGTTTCGCAGGCGCCGAGCTCCCGTAATTTGTATTAATGAATCCGAGAAAAACGGACGTATTCTTTCTGGACGACCCCTTGGAGGCAAACCCTTCAGTGAGATTCCGTACTCGAAATAAGTGAGAAAATATTTCGTCGCCAATTCGAAGCGAGTCTGCTAAGCTCGCCCTTTGAGTTTGAGTACTAAAGGACTCCCATCGAGTAAAAGATTTTGAGAGTGGGCCCTACCTGATTCGGCCTGATAGATATATTGTACATAAAGTCCAGGAAAAACTAGTACCTTTTCTCAGACTTTATTCGGGCAGTGTTCGTTTTTAATAGCGATGTACGTACCTCTTTGGGCGATAAAATAGAAATATAGTCCTCATAGATGAATCGTGCTTTTTCTTCGATTAAGTCGGGGTTGGATTCCTTCTTGAGCTCCTCACAGGCCAGCCAGAAGAGGATATTTTCTTCCGAGTATTCACATCGGAGAAAATCACGGAAAACTCTGCGACCAGCTGCAACACAGTTTGGGGTAGAGACATCAAGACGATGGAAGAAACAAAAGCAGTAAGAGCAGTGGCGCGGCGATTCGACGGACACGTGCGATATGCGATAGTTAATAGATATGGGCTTATAACTCACCTGTACTTTTCATCAGTTTGTCAAAGGATTTACCCCAAGCTCGGATCTCCTCCAATGGCGGTCTGCAGCACCAGAAATCATAAGGAATAAATGCCTTCTCTTGTTTTACTCAATGGTACAGGACACAGGGCAGGGAAAAACAGGTTCAAGCAGTTCAACAAATTGAGCAAATTAAAACGTTCAAAAAGAACAACAACATAAGAATGTGACACTATATTTTCAAACGAACAAACGATGACTTGAACCAATTTCATCTCCCGATCTGATCAGTAGCCACTGGCGCCGACTTGTTGGTTTACTTACGGAGGCTCCCCGTCGCAGGTCAGCATGTCCATGGGGTCCGGGTCCCCGTTTCTGTGGTCATCATCACCGCTCTTCGACGTCAAGCTGTCGACAAGAGGAGAGGAGGTCTGGTTATTCGCAGAGCAGAGCGGTTCACTTTAGCCAGAGGGAATGTGCACATTCGCATGTGAGACCGAGAGTTCAGACGAGGGAAAAGGGGAGGGGGAGTATCTCTGTCTGTCTGTCTGTCTGTCTGTCTGTCTCCCCC